CTTCTTATTTCTTTAGAAGTTATATAAAATAAAGGCAATATAAATAGAATTTTTCCCCCTCTTATTAAGGAAGGGGCATTTTGAAATTAAATGTAATAGAGTATTATGAATGTTTAAACAAAAACAAAGGCTAAACATTTTAACCTAATCATATGATATGTCTTTATCAGTACCATACATATATATATATAAGAATTTTAAAATACTATTAAATGGCATAAATAGTAAAAGTAGAAGTGAAATATTCCACTTTATTTAGAAATTTAGAAGTCTTATCCTCAAATTTCAGCCTAATATCTGATAAATATAATAAACTGATTTTTATCCCATTTTAAATTGATAAAAAAAATCCATTAACTTTTTCAATAAAGAAATGTAAAGTCAAATCCCTCCATAGTAAATCTTGCTTATAACAAATGACATTTTTGATTCAATTTGATTTCTTGTAAAAATATGTTATAGTGAACCTCCATCCATATGAAAGTTGGCTAAAATAAATTTTATTAACAACTTAAACTGATTTTTTTTTTCAACTTCCTATTTTAAAATTCTTCAGCTTCCAAATGAAAAATTTTAAATAATCAAAGTTTTAGTTGTTGGGATCACAATAAATATTTTTGTTATTCCACGTATATGGTTCTTCAGTACTTTAAAATGCCAATTCTATTAGAACCATAAAAATTGTCATACAACTTATTGTCCCATGTGCTTTTTAACTAAAGGTATCACAATGTTAATGTTTAAAATAAAAACTATGTATTAACACATCAATATGATAATTATAAAAACATTAAAGGTATAACAGAAACAAACTCTGATACTTGAGGATAATTCAGAATACAAATTACTGTGCCCTACTAAACCTTGATTCAACCCTAGATATTTATAAAGCAAAAGCAGCATGATGAAACTTCATCTGATGAATTAAATTCAACTGGCAGGGAAGCGAATCAGAGTGGCTTGCCAAAAGCTCTTTCCCTAAACTCAAGAACTCTGATTTATATGCATTCTGGTAATACTGCAAGTACAGCCAAACTAATAAGATATCTGAGTTAATTAGCATAAAGCTTTTAAAATTAATTACCTGCTTTTTTATATTCTTTTCCATATTTCATTTCTTTGTGTTTAAAATGGAATCTGTGTGAAGTAGATATAATACCCAATTTTGGAAAATAAGGATACAGAATAAACATATCTTAAAGATAGCAAGAATGTATTTTGATTGATTATAAAGAAGAAAAACAGATAACAGTTGGAGCTCCTCAACTTTTTCCAGATGAAGCTCATCGTTCTTTAAATTTGTTAAATACACATTTAGGAAAATTTATTTTATCAAAACCTCATCCATATAATGAATTGTAAATATAAAACATTTTGCATTGAAGATAAAATTAATATTATAATAAAAAATATAGAATGGATGTAACCAAGTCAATATTTAGTGAACATTTAATTTATCCCAATGTATAGTTAGCACCATGTGAGAAAAAAGAAATTGTATAATACTTATGAAAAAATTTGGATGTTAGGAAAAAGTTGAGTAAGGCCAAGCATAACAGTGTTAAAGAAATATTGCTGAAATAAGTTATAATCACAGATATTTACATTCTGCCAGGATTTGGATAAATGCTTCAATGCTGATGAATTTGCTGAACAATTTAGAGAGACTGCCCTTTTGTATCGATATACCTATTTAAAGAGGCTTAAAATGTGAACCATTTCTTTGGAAAATTCAAATGTCTGATAATGTGTTTATAGGGAAAGAAAAATATAAGAAGATTGAGGTAGAGAGAAGATTGGACGGTGTCTGTTATCATTATATTTGTAATGAAGAGAAATTTTCAGTGCCATTGAAATTAGGCTGTTTAATGAGATGACATCAAACATTAGACTTAAGAGGCAAAAAGATAAATGACATGATGAATTTTTGTCCAAAAAAGTAAAGGAATCTAGTCTTCATTGCCAACTATAGTGCATGCATAAATGTTTAAACTTGAAATTGACTCAGACTGTTTCCTTCCACCATCACCCCAAATGAAATTTCTATTATATATAGCTTATATGAAAGGAACATAAAGTGTCTTTAAAAAAAAATTATGCATTTGCACTGTAAGAATGCTAATGATATACAATTATTGCTGATTTGTTTCTTAAAGTGTGTAGGAGAGGAACATGATAAAAACAAGGATTTACATATTACAGAGTGGCTGAGGGGTCATATATGACATTTATCTGACACTGAAAGCAATTCAGTTTGCCAGTTTTGATGACTAAATCCAGGGGCACCTTTAAGAAGGAAGTACCCATTTCAGTATTTTCAAAATGCAGCATGAAGCTTTCTGAATTTGTAATATCCTTAATTAGTTTTATTATTCGTATCTCAAAATGTTGCATATTTATAGCACACAATAAATATATATATTCTAGTTTCTTGTCCTAGTGGATTTTCAAATGCTATTTAAATAAACCCATTCAGTATAATTGTAAGAATTGCTATATTCAACTTATAGAATAAAATTGCAGTATTTATAGATGTAAAAGATTTTACCATGTGAAATTCTAATAAGAAGAATTTTACTAAAGTTTCTGGAAGGTAAAAAGTAAGGTAAAGAATAAAAGTTTAATTTTGGCTCTTAAAGATTTCAGATCAAGCTGTTATCCAATGAATACGTTGAATCTCATTTTAGTGGTAATCAACTGGAATTAATGCTGATTTAAAATTGCTTTCCACCAGATATATAATAAATGGCTTGGAAAATTCATTAGTAGCAGAATTATAGTAATTTGTTATTATATTCAACTTTCTTTATGAATCTTTACATTATCTAAATTTTAGTAATGCATTTCCATATTCTCTTATTATTCCATAATCATTCATCTTTGGTAAAGCAAATCCTTTTTTTTTTTTGTCATATTATTAACGATGCAAAAATAATTAATGTAAGTGCATGCAAACCGTAGAATGAGCCACTATTAATTTTAAAAACTGATTTATGTAAAAATATATATGCCATAATTCTTTTAAGGAGCAAAAATATTCCTATTATAGCTTTTGCTTCATGAAGGAGAAAATTATGAGATTTAGTGTCAGTATCATTTGAAAGGCATAGAGCATTTCTCTAAAATTAATAAGATTGAGTTTCAGCCAATTTTAAAAACTGTCTTAAGTGTAATGAAACTTTCAATCACATAAATTTTATCATGTATTTTATCGAAAAATCTCCACAGTGTTTGAAAAAAGTAGCTATAAATGCTGTATCCATAGATATGAGACATATATTTTAAATTACAGTTTTTCACAATATGGTGCAGAATTTCATAGCAGTAGTTTCAGTATTAGGTATAGAAAGATTCTGAAAATATAGAAAGTTTTTTTATATGGTCCCCATAAAATTCAAAAATTTAACCCCCACCCCCAAATAGACAGATAAATAATTTTGTATCAGTTTTATGTTGAATAAAAAGATCAGTATAAAACTGATACCGAGATATTCACCTGTTTCGTCAAATTTTTAAACTCAATTATATGTTTACTGTATTATGCATATTTCCAGCTATTATGGGATTTAGTGTGAGAAAGCATTTTGAAAAGCCTTTTAATCAACCTTACATAACTGTAGATTATGTGGTTAGAAGGATATGTAAAAATAAATTAAATATTTGGTACTTTTTTCCCCAACCAAAAAGTTATGAACTCATTGGTGACTAATTTTTCACTAAAGACAACAGCTGTTTTCAAAATGGCAGCACAATAAGAATTCAATGTGAGAGCAGTTAATGAATAAAATTAAGAAAGCAAGAAACGGTAATAATAAAACACTTTTACAAAAAATCCTTCTTTTTTGTGTGGTTATTCTCCCCATGTATACAACAATCTGTTTTTGCTTCAAGGAGATCACAGAATTCCACAGATTTGGCATCATACAACTGTAGCATCGCATGGCCAAAACACGAGGCATGTGCATACTTGGCTTGCCAAATAAATGCTTCTGGTAACATTGTCCACATAACCATTTTGGTGACATACTGCATAATCTACATACATATAACCTCATAAATATTTTTTCACAACTTTTCAGTTTGGGGGGTGGGGGTCCAGGTAATGAGAAAGTATCAAATATTTCATATGGAAGTCTAATAATGTATAACTGATTAAAGTAGATGCAAAGATAATCATGAAAATGATTTTTAAAATGTAATAATAATTGTTTGTTTTAAAAAACTGTTTTAAGTTAAATTAATATTTACATTAAGACTTTTAAAGTTCATCTCATCTTTGTGATTAGTTTCAACCACAGCTGCATACCGAATCTTCAAAGACAATGCTATAATGCTTCCTTTACTGATATCAAATTATTCAAAGTACCCTTGTCAAGAAAAATAAAGACCTTAACATTTATCTCATATTTCTTAAGCTTTTTTCATTGAAATTAATGTGAGGACATTGAAGTTTACTCCAGTTATTTAAGTTCAAAATAATATGTACATCCTTGCATCAATTAATGCTCATTACATTTCATAAACCCTCTTTTAAAATTTGAAATGCTTTATAACAATGCTTATAGTTGAAACAAGTTTTAGTTATGAATAATAACAATAGATGATAAAATTTTTTAAGAAGCTTAAACATAATTGATTTAAAGTATATAGGAAAAAAATTATTTGATTTCATCATTTATTAGTATTGTATCTTGCTTATCCATGGACCTAAAAATGTAATAACTGATTATTCAAATGTTAGAAGGCAGACATTTATGGAAATAAATGTCATAATTTTCCAAAAAGCTAATTTTAAAGTTTTATACACATTATACACTTAGAATAAATTATATTTATCTTGGTTTACTGATCAGTCTCTAATATTATATTCCCCTTAAACATTTTTTAAATACATTTTAAACTTTTTTTCAATTTATTTCTAATTTAGTTCTAATGCAGATAAGATTGGTAAAGAGTTTGTGTATTATACTAATGTATGGTAATCAGTTTGTTTTTTACAGGTACAACATTTTATACGTAAAAGAGAATACCTGAAATTTAAAGAAAAGCTTCAATCTCAAGATCCAGTTGAAGAACTAAAAAAATCCTGATGTTACAAATGTTTAATGCCCATTTGTGTACCACTGAACAGTTTTTACAGCTTGTTAGTTTATTTTTATTATGTAATTTGTGTATTTATGCTTTCCCTCCCTGAATAAAAATCTCAGGTTTTACTAAACCAAAAGGTTGAAATACAAGCATAATATTGTAGATATTTAAGTAAAGCAATTATTTATAAAAAAATTGTCATAATTCATTGGAATGCTTTAATTTTTGAGAATAATATTGTATATGGAAACTAAACCGATATCTGTCAAGCCTAAAATAGGAAAAAAACAGGAAGTTTTTCACACTATAACACCATTGAAAAGAATGCTAAATTTTATGTTCTTTAGCTAATTTTACTTTGTAAAGTTTCTTATAATGAGAAATCTTAAGTAGAGAATGAGAGCATTTATTTAACAAAGTACTTTTAAATACGATAAAAATAAAACCAATGATTAATGTAATACATACCACTGTGTAGATAAACTTATATGCCCTACGTAAAATTTGGTGGGCAAAAGCCAGATGAATCGAGCTTTTTTAATTGTTTATTCTGACCTGTTATGAAATCCGCAATGACATTTTCATTACTTTTCTCGTGATTTTGAATGCAAACTACTGAAATTCAGCAGTACGAATGTGCGTCATCTCAGTGATTATACTACCAATCAACCCAAACTGAGAAAACTAGATATAACATGTGCATCTGCCGAAGAATATAGTTCTATCATTTCTAGTGGCTTTAATGTAGAAATTAAACAAGTTGTCACACAAGCACTATCGCACCTTGGGACATCCCTGCCCTCATGATGCACTTTAAATGTCCTTTCTGAGCCATGGTTAAAAGTGTTTGCCTACCCGTTATAATACAGAATTAAACACAAACATTAGCAAGTTACCAAACAATGGTTGAAATTTCATAAAAAGTTTTATAGAAAATGTCTAAATATAGTTAAAAAATTTAGATGAAATAAATTCATTTTGTAATGCAGGATTCAGAAGTACTGAACTATTTATAATGTGATTCTGATGTAAAATACATTGTCACAAAATATATATCAAAGAAGGAAACGAACTGCTATCACAAAACTTAACATATATGTAGTGTATGAAAAGATAAACAAATGATTACAAATTCAGAACAGAAGATCATTTTATTAAGAATTTATGGCAGGAGAAAGGTTACAAATCAATAAGTAATGTAGCCACTTCTGGCAGCTATACAAGCCAAAACGCGGAATGGGATCGAATCAAGTATGTCACCTATGACTCCCTGCAGAAGATCATGCCATAATCTTTGGAACTGAGCAGTTAATTCACCAATATTCCACAACAGCTGCAGTTGCCTTCCAAGCATGTCCCAAACATGCTGTATTGGCGAGAGGTCTGGTAACCTGACAGACCACGGGAGTATGTCATACCTTTGAAGACATTGTTGGGAGAGTCATGTAGTATATGGACACGCGTAGTCTTGCTGATAAATAGCACCTGGGCGATTTGATAACATAGGCAGTACAAGTGGTGTTAAAATATCCATGTAAATGCGAGCCATCAAAATGCCTTGAAGCATTACAGGTGATCATGTGTCCCAACAAATCGCTCCCCACACTATCACACCTTGTGTAATCGTTGAATGCCACTTGACAACAAATGCTGGATCAGACCGTTGGCCTGGCCACTTCCACACATGTACATGTTAGTCATCAGCATTGAGACTAAATCGAGATTCATCACTGAAGATCACATACCTTCAGTTGGTCACACTCAAGCTTGCCCGAGTTCGGCAAAAATCTAGTTAACACTGCCTATGATGTGGGCTCATTGGTAGGCATCTTAAAGGATGTTGGCAGCATGTACTAGCGTCGGCCAGTCGTCTTCGAATGGTTTCCCTTGATACCACCAGATGTCTGGCAGGTGGTAAATGGTGTCAAATCGATTCTAGCGATATTGTTGGTGCAGAAGTGGCCGCTCTGATTATTAAGCAATCTTCACACTCATTTGTGTTCCTGGGATGCCCTGACCCTCCGTGATGGTAGACTATCCCTTCCGTAATCCATTGTTCGCAGGACCGAGCAACTACCATATCACTCCGACCGAGGTGACTGTTTGACCAACCTGCTTCTCTGAGCCTACTATACGCCCCTTCTCAAAGTCCGACCACTGTTCATGCTGCTGCCTATTTCTGTCTAGTCACAATAATGTCCATCCAAGTCAACAGATTCGTTTGAATAGCCTTACACCATGAGCAACCAAGCTTTTAAACTCTCCCAGCTGCGCATCTCATAAGCGCATAGCATGCTTATCCTTGTCTCAACGGCGTCGAAATTTAAATCATTTGCATCTCTCTTACCAGACTACATTCCTGCCAAGTTTCATGATTGTGGCTCGATTTCTTCTGGATACATATATATATATATATATACCCTGTCATATATATATATATGACAGGGTATGTATTATTAATATTTAATTAGATATTCTAAATTTTATGTTCTTTAGCTAATTTTACTTTGTAAGTTTCTTATAATGAGAAATCTTAAGTAGAGAATGAGAGCATTTATTTAACAAAGTACTTTTAAATACGATAAAAATAAAACCAATGATTAATGTAATACATACCACTGTGTAGATAAACTTATATGCCCTACGTAAAATTTGGTGGGCAAAAGCCAGATGAATCGAGCTTTTTTAATTGTTTATTCTGACCTGTTATGAAATCCGCAATGACATTTTCATTACTTTCCTCGTGATTTTGAATGCAAACTAATGAAATTCAGCAGTACGAATGTGCGTCATCTCAGTGATTATACTATCAATCAACCCAAACTGAGAAAACTAGATATAACATGTGCATCTGCCGAAGAATATAGTTCTATCATTTCTAGTGGCTTTAATGTAGAAATTAAACAAGTTGTCACACAAGCACTGTCGCACCTTGGGACATCCCTGCCCTCATGATGCACTTTAAATGTCCTTTCTGAGCCATGGTTAAAAGTGTTTGCCTACCCGTTATAATACAGAATTAAACACAAACATTAGCAAGTTACCAAACAATGGTTGAAATTTCATAAAAAGTTTTATAGAAAATGTCTAAATATAGTTAAAAAATTTAGATGAAATAAATTTAATAAAATTACACTGATAATCACTAAGAGTAGAATAAAAGTATTCGTGCAATTTAAATTTCGTTAATTCACTTAATTCCATTTATTGCTGGGAAACATTTTTCTTAGTAAAGGCTAAACATTAAAAACTGGGAGACTTTGTGATAAATTAGGGTACGTGAACAATAACCAGGAGTTTCCTGGTTTTACTACAACTTCGTTATAGAAATTCAGTGTTTGTGTTAAAACACGTTTTCTTCTTTTTCCCTAATCTAAAGAAATAGCATAATAATTGGTTACCCAATTTTTCCAAATTATCTAATCTCAATAACACATTGAGATTAGATAATTTCGAAATTGATGATATGTTGGGTAAAATATGATGACCCTTCTGAAAAAGGAGATGAATATAAAATTTCTGAATCAGGCCATCAAAATTACATATTGCCTAATAATCTGCACTATTCAGTGATTACATAGCTACTCATGAAATTCAAAAAAAAAATTTGGAAATTTTCTAATGCAGAGGTTGTAACATTTGAACCATTTTATAAACATTATATTTCAAAACTAAGTTGTCCTAGGCCCGAAATATAAAAATAACACACAGTAAATAAATTTCTAGGATGTTCAGAAAGGATTTATTATTTATAATTACAATAAAAATGAGTGAAAATATCTGTAGCAGAACAAAGTGTTTTAATTTCTTGGTTCTTCACAAGCTAAATAATAAAATTAATTTCGAATTTTTTATTTAACATCTTCACGAAAATTCTTGAAAAATAATTTCCCTTGTGTCACTTTTTCTAATATAACGTTTTTAAAATGTAGCTTTATAAGTAAAATCAAAATTTCATTTTATTGATATGAAGATTGGATCCAACAGATTATTTATTATAATAATTATTGATTTCTCCATAAGTGAAAAATCTTAAATCATATCTTTAATCACCAACTATATTAAACAGCATGAGATCCAGCATACCGTTCAGAATGACCCTCAGCAATAAATTGATTCCATATTAATATGATGGCTTTTTTGAGTTGCCTAGCATATGCCAAAGCATTGACCTTCAAAGCACTGCTTCAGTATAAAAATGCAAATGGCCTTCAAGGTTTTTTTTCTAGGTGTTAAGGAAAAATTTTCTGTACAGTAAAGCTAGGGTTATTATGAATGATGATGGGATTTTTAAGTTGTGTAGCATATGCCAAGACATTAAAATTCAAAGTGCTGCTGCAGCATAAAAAATGCAGATAGCCTTCAAGGTCAGATTTTTAATTTGAAACCTATCACCTACATAAAGGTGTCTTTTTATGAAGTAGGATTTTTAGTTGGCTGACCTGATTAATTTACTAAGATAAAATGCAATCACTGTACCACATCATGGTGCCAGTACTACTTATGGGCTCTGTTTCAGCACAACAGTGTTGACATCTTTAATAACCTTTTTTTTCTTTATTTTACATGAAAATATATTTAAAAAATTTTTTATCTTGTAAAGTAATTTTAGGAAGCACTATTCAAATTATTCCAAAGTTTAGTTTATAAAAATCCATCAACAAAGTTCAAAATTAATAAAACAATACAATAAAGACTATTTACAGTAAGAAGTAACAAAATTTAAAATGAAGACTGAGTGTGGTAAATCCCGAAGCACGGAGAAGTATCACTTTCTAACTCTTAGAAAAAGTATCACTTTCTAAATCTTCAGAAAATGAATCATCACTCTCATCTGTGTTAGGAAATGGTTCTTAACCATACGAGTGCATTCTTCCTCTGATAAATAGCACCTTCACGTCATAATAGACTGGAGGCAAGGCTTTCCGAAATAAAAAAGAGAAGAACCCGAAATATATTTGAAGGCAATGCAACCCTAAAAAACCATACATAGTAGAGGAGGAAAATAGAATAAAAAAAAGGAATTGGATGTAAATCAGACACGCGAATGTTTATATTAGCAAGTGGCGATTTAAAGAGACCACCTCTGTTTACCCTCGCAACAGTTGATGAGTAAAATACTAGTCGGGCAGAATATATCAAACGCAAGTTCAGGAACCTAAAACAGTGTTCATTTCGAAGGTAATGGACATAGG